ACGTTGGCCTCCCAATTGTCAAAGTTTTCTTCCCTCTTCCCACTGTAGGAATTGGGGAACTTGACTTTGACAGGCTCCCGGCGAGGAGGACGTGCTTCCTCCTCCTTGGGAGCTGCCGCCTTGACGCCTTCAATGGCGCCAGCGCAGAACCGCTCAGTCTTGTCGAGGCGGTGACCCACCTCGGCTCCAACGACGCCTACCAGCTCACGAGCAAAATCTCAAAAGCCCAACCGTATCGAGCGCACCGCTATGTCCTGGCTTCTGCTAAAGTCATATTGGTCTGCCTGAACCCGTGCCAGGCATGCAACGCTCCGAGCTATGACTCGCATCTGATTCGGGAGATCGGACTGGGCGGCTAATTGCTCCTCTATGTTCTTCACTTCCTCTAAGTCCTCTGCCGCCTCCGCTGCCTTGTCAATTCTCCTCTTCTTCTCCCTCATCACCGCTAATTTCCATTCCATCCTCTTCTCGTCTTCCAACGTTTGACGTTTAAGAGGGTCTTTCTCTGCATCCCAAGCCTTCATGGCAGCTTCTTGCTGATCCTGCGGGATATACATACTAACCTCTTCCTCTTCTCCCACAGTCAGGTTGGCAACCCATTCAGATATCCTCTTCTCCAGGTCTCCACCGGTACTACTACTGGGCTGCCCACTACTCCTTTGCAGTGGCGGACCGTCCTCTTCTTCATCCACCGCCTTCAGTTTCTCTTCTTCTTCCTTCTTTAACCTCTCTTTCTCYCTGGCCATCTCTTCTTCCATCTTCTTCAATTTGGCCGCCTGCTCCTCCTTCAAGGCCTTCTTCTTGGCCTCCTTCTTCTCCTTTCTCTCTTGCAGGATGGCGGCCATCTTTGCCTCCTCCTCCTTTGTGTACGACATAGTGGAGGTGCCGCGCCGGGTGTCTACCATGGTGGTGTCAGGTGCACGACAAAGGTCCCACTTCTCAGCACTTGGGCCTACCCGGACACAAACCTACTGACCGACTTCCTAAGGACCACAGGGTAAGACCCTGTCAACTATGGTCACTAACCCAAGACTTATTCTAAGGCTGTCACTACTGAACCAAAAGCTGATCAGGAGGCATTTAAGGAGATCCCCCGTAACTCCTCAAGAATTCTTTAACGTCGCAAACAAGACGACGTGATCAGCTTGGTTCTTCCTGGCGATTTCAGCCCACAGCTCAACCGTTCCAGCCTACTGTGCCACACCGAGCAGCCAGCGGGTCTGTACCGGTCCTTGGAGGGGTTCGTATCCCTCGGGACAGTCGAATCGTCAAACACAGATCATCAGCTGTAATAGGTCCGGTAGGGGAGTGGCTCAACTAGGCCTCAACACTTAAAGACGGCCCTCGTTTCAGCCTACAGCCCGGAGTTCAGACCCTCTATACTGAACTTAGTAGACCTGTAGTACCAGTCATTGGGCTAGACGAGTTGTTTAACGAGCGCTCGCCGCTCATGCCCAGGTCTCCAAGTGCCAGAGTAGAGCTTTGGTCCTACTAAGCCCGTGTAGGTTTGGCAGCAAGGCCCTATCCTTCATCCACAGAGTCCTAGCACCTAAGACAGAAGAGACTCAATGCAGAAAGAGTAGACAGATAACTCAGCAAGTACCGTGGGGTAGGTGCACATCCGCAGGGTAAGGGGACAGGCTAAGGGGTCAACGAGATATCACCAACTCCAGCTTGGTCAAAATCTTGGTCAGCAGCCCCGGTCAACGCCTTGGTCAACGCCGAGTCAACGCGGGCAACCCCCAGTCAACACTTGGTCAACACCCTCAGTCAACGCCTGGTCAACCCTTGGTCAACCCTCTGGTCAACCCTTGGTCAACCCTCTGGTCAACGCTCCGGTCAACGCTCCGGTCAACGCCCGGTCAACCCTTCACCTCGGCTATGGCTGCCGGCACCATCACCCTCGTCACCCTCGCCGTCTACTTCCCCTTCCTCACTTTCTTT